TTGCCTCGGTCAGGTTCCTGCCGTCAGAAACATCCTCCTCAAGCGTTTCATGTCATTTCGCACATCTGCTCTCTCCTCATCTTCTCCCCTTGTTGTATCGGTGTATTCTGACTCCTGTTATCTTTCTTATACCTTCACAGGCTACAACAATATATATGGTTATCAACATGTAAAATTTTATTCTGATCAAGATGTATTGTCTGCTATTAATATTTAGTTTATTCGTCAATATTTTGGTTTTCATTCACCCTTTGAATCTGTTGTTTATGAAATCTCAACCTCATGATTACTCTTTATAAGAGCAGAGCAGGCCAGTGGTCGGTCCAGGAGCCCGTAAGCCCTCGGTTGGCGAACTGGTCTGCTCTATCTCCCCATCTTCTTTTTTAAAAATGTTGTATGTCTTTGCACCTGTGGTGGTGTGTATATCAATCAATTATTATTATTATTATTCATCAACAACCGGTGAGGACTGAGGGGTTCTGGAATTGTTCGCGAATCTGTTCAGTGGAAGGAGTCACTGAGTATCAACCATTGCTGCTGAATGTAGGCTCTAATACTATATTGGAGTTCCATAATCACCAGGGGCGAGGGTTGTGCCCTTTGATTTGGAGGGAATTTTGCTGAAAATGATGTGTGTCATTTCAAAATGTATTGGCAGGGGGCATCACACAGGTAGCACAAAAAAGAGGGATATGTAATTTTGGGTGGGATATCGTATTTTTGCTTGATTATCTAGAAAAAAGCTGGATGGTGGTAGGTATATATGTAGTGGAGGTAGTCTGTGTTAGACAATAACATGAACCGACCACGTTACATTATTTCATAGGTTAATACTGCGCTTTGATACAGCCTTGCTTCATGAGAACCTTTTGTGCTCTTTTTTGGATTAGATAAGACAGAGGGAGGGAGAACGCAAATTATCAACGGCGACGTTCTTAACCATTCTTTAGCAGCACAAACCGATTTAAGTCAAGTATTCTTTCTGCAACTTGTTCAATCTTTCATTTCTGTCATTTTTTATATACTATTGGTAACCAATGGTTTTAAAATGAAAAGCCACTAAATACCATTGTTAACCCTCCCAGGCACACGCGCAAGCGAGGGTTACAATACTTGGGGTACGTTGTTGTCTGTGTATACCACGTTTCTGCCACACCGTGCAACAAAACCGTCCAAAAACGACACTCAACGGGTTGCGGCGCTACACTGGCTCACTTTAAAATGGCGATTTGCGGTAAAGTCTTAAAATTATGCGTGAGTGAAAAGCAAGTGAGCAAGCCAATATGACTAATAGCACAGGCTTACCCGCCGGGTCAACTCTTTGAAGGCACAACGAAGAGAAGGGTGTATCGATATAGTACGAAAGAAGAATTAATTTTAGGCTCGAACGTAACCTGGGCACGGTTAGGATTGGTACAAGAACCTTCGTTATCTCTATCACATACGGAAATGTCAAAATTATGGGGTAAACCTATACGCAGTCTTGGCTGTATCCATTCCTTATTTGTAGGGTACTATTATACACCACACCCTATTGCACAGGGCCAATGGGGATCACCTCATTGACTGTCTTCATAAGCGCCACAAGTCCAATACTTGAGCCGGCTACAAGGGGGAAATCCCCACATTCTTGTGTGTAGATTCACCCCCACACTATAAATATGCACAATCATTGCGGCTCTCCCGGTTGCTCCCCAACAATACATTCCCAGTATTACAATGATGGGGGTACTATGTTGGTGAACCTTGGGACTCTCACTAATAGATGAGGTTTTAGCCACCCTGCTGCCCCTTGCCTCTGCAGGTAGGGCCACAAAATGCATGACGATAGAATAATGTAAAAAACATGATAAGTATTATTCTAACACACAATGGTAACTTCACTGCGGTTGGTTGGCAACAATGGTATATCAAACAGTAGGATGATTAAGAGGCATCGTTACAGATCTCTCCAGGTGCATGCCCTCCTCCTCTTAAACCGGTCTGATCATGAGGTTGAAATTGTTAATCCAGACCAAACCCTTGGATCCGAATTAGAATTGATTGCAATCGAGATCAAAAACCCCAGTTTGAGTGGGGTCCCAAATGTGTGCCAATTTTGATCGGCGCCTCCCACAGAGCATCTTGCACTTCGGCCAAAGTATCCAATACCCAACGGAGAGAATATTCGGTGTAGTATAGAGCAGCTAGGTATGAACATGCCCCGCCCTCAAACGTTTACCAGTTGTAAAAGGCATCTAAAAGGTTGTTTCCGTGATGACAACACCATCCTATATACCTGATCGACATGGTCAAGATAACGACGTCGATGCTAATGGCAGTCTTCGTGATCGAGCGGAGTGAGCTCCTTGTGTGTATGGGATGGGGGGACTGTGCACTGCAGCAGATACCATAGCAATAAACCAAAACGATGCGCGGCGCGCGCTGCTGAATGTACTTGTGGGTGGGGCTCAACCCGGACCTATCAGTCTATCGCACCAGGTTGGTTCAACATACTGAGCCTTATGCACAGGCGTTAAAAATGTAGGATATAAGAGTGTAGGATTCAGAGGATTGCCATGCATTGGAAGATGATAGGATCGATGCACAGTATACAAAAAAGCATGTGTGAAAATGGATTGTTTAAAATATGCTGTAGGACGTTGAGGGCTACATCTTGTCGCTCTCATACAGTATAACGAGGGACATGATCCATCTGAGCATGGAACCTTTTTGACCACTTAGTCACATGGTTCTTTCGTCAGAGAAAGTGTTCAGGGGTGCTGTATGAAAGACAATAAGTAATATTTTGAACATATCTAACATCATAAAACCTAAACAGACACACGTGACCATCTTGCTGATTCAAACTTGACAACCGTTGCCACAAGTTCGCATTGAATGTAAAGACCAACAACTACCGTGGAACTCTGATAAGGGACCCTCCAGGAGAGAGGGATGACCTCTCTACATATACTATATACTCTACAAAGGACACTGTTCAATCCAATTAATTGACCTCTGAGATACGGATGCCTCTAAAATGTCATTGGCCCCTATATTTTCCTTGTTCAGTAGTTCTTTCTGAGGCAAGGTATAGGTAAGTCTGAGTAACGCTTATGCGCAGTGAAGGGTAATCCTACAACTCAACCTACATAAAATTATACCTGCTTCCATTTTTGTTAAAATCAACTACTGCCCCTATCAATTCCTCGACCATTGCCACATTGTTCTTTCTTACAGCCAACAGTAGTGGATGTCTGTCCAAACGTGAGGAATAGTATGAACAAGCTTGGGCAAAACATAGGGATGATAGAGGCAATACTTGTGGAAGCATTTGGGAGGGCACAGCTCTGAAGCAGGACTGAAGCCGTGGTCAGGCGGTGTTATAACGGCCATTATTAGTGCGCGTTCTGATACTGTAGGAAATACGCACTGAGTGCAAAACTGCGCTTCGCGCTGATACGCCTAATTGAGGGTTTGGTTGGCCGTTAGTATGCGTGTACTCGTGGTAGTTAGTAGAGTAGCTCGCGTTAGAGTCGTGACCAGGCTAGCTACGCGTAGTATAGTTAGAACAGCATTGTGAAGTAGGACACACGTTAACACACCACCAATTGGAGTCGATCAGATAGACGTCCTGGTAGTGGGCTAGTGCTGTCCATGCGCCAGCACCTTCGCCCCAACGTGACATGTCCTTTGTCAGATGCCAAATTCAGCGAGTTCCACCCAGCTAGCCAGAGAAAGTCATATAAACGAGGAACCATGCGGCAATTGCAAATCGTCACTGCCACCCACCAAGATCATCAGTGGGTTATTCACCTCATCTTGCAGGTCTACACACACATTATCCTGAAGATTCTACTTCTGGCTCCATGTTGTAATAACTGGCCACACCTCCACCGGGCCCCATTCTGAGATGCAACCATCAGTGAACTGCGCCCGTTCCTGGTATCCACACATTGATACAAGTAAGACCTATGAATGAGTCTGTGCACTTGGTGGTTGGCATCTCGCAAGCTATATGATTGTGACTCACAGCACCACGTCAACAAACAAGTCTCAAGGAAACGGCACAAACAGGACACTCAGACACAATGTTTGTCCAAGGAAGAGGTTCAATGTGAGTGAGACTGTACTGGGGTTAGGCTTACCGCACTCTGCGTCCACTGTCGCATCCATGTTTGTATAACTGGTCACCACCGATCCACATGTCCTCCTGAGTGCCGTCATCAGTGACTCCATCCAGTCCTATTGGCATCACTAAATTTGTTGCTGTCACAGTTTTCTAACAGATAGGTTCATGTTTCATTTCCCAGAATGTCTAGCCCTTGCACCGTTTTTAACTTTTCCTGTACGAGCTCAACAAGCAAACGTTTAAATCTAAAATGCTGCAAGCGATGACAGAGCGAGCCGGCGTCCTACTGACAATAGAGGAATGGAAGTGAGCAACACAGACACGGTACTGCACCGGCATACATGAAGAGAGTGCCAAGTTGAAGTAATGAGACATCCTCTTTTAGCAGGTCTAGTGTGGCCCATGTTGTAGAACTACTTGTCCACCACCATTGAGGTCCGCATGTCCGCATTCAGGAGCAATAGTATCAGTGAACTCCACCCATCCTTTATGGTATATCGTAACTTATAAAAAGCGAGTAGAATTATAGGCATTGCATGATCATTATTGATGTTGAGATCACCGTGGCCCCATATTGTAATCACTTGTCGCCACCTCACATTCCAGTGTCAGATGCTACCATCAGTGAGCTTCCACACCCCTCTAGTTCACAAAGATAAAGTTGATGATCTGCGTTATAGTTTTTTACTGAATCTTAGGATCAGACAGAGAAAGAGAGGAGACCTGGACACCCATAACAAGTGACAAGCACGTAGAGCAGATCTCCAGACAAAAGCTGGTCTTCACATTCCTTCGAGGTAGAGCTAGCCAACCAATATAATGTATGGTGATTCTGATTCTATGGTTGCCCACTCTACTAGCACAGACAGTCACAACCGACCCATCACCTGTCTGAACTACTTGTATATTATGTGCTTGCCAACATAGATGTGCTATTGCCACTGACCACACACGTACGCACCTCCATTAGCAAATCTACTCTGGCTTCATGTTGTAATAACTTGTCCACCACCTCCACATGTCCCTCCTGAGATGCAACCATCAGTGAACTCCACCCATTCTGATAAATCGGTATGAAAGGATGTCATGAAAATCAATTAGGTTCATATAATACACACAGATTGTACCTTATCTTGCATGTCTACTGTGGCTCCATGTTGTAATAACCTCTCCACCACCTCCACATGTCCATTATCAGACGCCCATACTAACGAAGTCCACCCTTCCTAAATAAACAAATTATTGCCTTATACTTTGTGTTTGCTTATGTAACCAACACAAAACATTCAATCACCAAGTAGAAGTATAGCTACCACAGAGAAAGGCAGCAAGCAAAAAGATGGTGCAAGCCAATGGAACACACTATTTTGTATAAGTAGAACTCAGACACAATCACAAATTTACTTACTGGGTACATAAAATCCACTGGAACTCCTATTCTGAGAGCATCATTTAGACCCTCAACGTCTCCATCATAAGCAGCATTAAAAAGACTGACTTCCTGCATTTAAAACATTAGACACACTTATGGTATCGAACTTAGCTTTCCCTTCGAAAACTAGGAACAACATACAGTCAACCTATTAGAGAGCCATGCTTCAGCTCTACACACAAACAGCAATGTGTTCACATAATATACTTACACTTAGACGAGGAATTCTAATCTCAAACTTGTAGCTGCTTTGATCTTTTGAATACCCATAAGAGCCATTTCAGCACAAGCAAAGGAAGACGTAAACACAGGACCAACACTTTCGATGTGCCAGTGAAGAGTGAGTGGATTTAGGGTGTGACCATCATACACCATATCACCAGTGGGGATACAGAGTAGGGAGCTGGTGAGGCTGTGTATGGTGTTGTACTGTACTCTTGTGAGGGTCGAACCCTCCAATTGAGCAGTGACGAGGCGGCTATCTGGAGGAGGAGGAGAGGGCTGGGTACTTGACTCTCCAGAGATCATGACTTCATCTTCCTCTTGTTGGTGGGAGACTGCCTCGCCCTTCAGGAGACTCTGGAACTCTAGGTATAATATAATATAGTAGCCTTCTGCCAATGCCAAAAGCTATCTGCAATCTGAACTGGTCGCGATACCCGTAATCTTGTCTCCCTAGTAGAGCTCACTGTGGCAATCTCCATAGTTAACCATAAAAACAACAAAACAAGCGGTGTGCTGTTAGGTAATTCAGCTTTTTGGGCATACAGGACAGGTCAAATGGAATCTCCATGTTGTGCATGGAGTCCCCGTGCAAACAATGGACTCTTGCGTACAAGTAAATTACTAGAACAAATTCCACACATTTTTGACAAGCGAGTGCGAGCAGTGAAATATTTTTGTGCACTTTAGAATCACGTACAACATTACGGTATGTGCAGTGACAATCACATAAATATCCTGAGTTCAGACAACTAGGTAGGCTCGCTTCACTCACCAACTATAATAATTTGCATCTACAACCTAGGGCTCTTATGTTTGTGGACTACAAGCTACACTTGTCTAAAATGTCAGTAACTCACTGCTGAGAATCTTCTGTGCAACATGTGGCTGCTCTGCACCAATCAGCGCTGCACAGAATGTCAAAAGACCCCCAACAGCTCTTTTTCGCATTTTGTCAATAACAGCCAACACTTTTCTCAATTGACTCTTCTCTTCAAATACTTTTGCTGCATCATCTCGAGTAAGGAGCCTTCGCTGTAGCATGTGTGGCACTATTGCTTCTGGTGACATCTCCTCCAACAGGTAGCTGATGTTGGCATCTATAGCTTGAAATTGAAGGCGAATCACTTTGTGCTCATTCTGCATGGCTGTTTGACAAAGAGAAAGAAAGTGGAATTTATCTAATGCTACAATGCATGATGAAACAGACTACCGAAAGAGGAGTCGTAGACAATGAAACCCTCAATGGTGAGAGTGGCGACGTGATGCTCCATCATGCTCTGACTGCTGGGCTTGACAGAGTTCTGGATGTAGGCCACCAGAGAACGAGGAACCCGCCATGTCACCTCCACACACCCTCGAGCCACTTTCACGAGGTTGAGGGAGAAGTCATACAAGGACAGCTCCCGGCAGACTTGAATGCGAAACTTCTCCACATCTTCCAGTGTAGCTGTCCTCCAGTCCATTTGGTGCTTGCTAACCATCGTGGTGAACCTTCCGTTGATATCTTCTGGCTCATCAGCGCAAACCTCTGAAAATATCTCAAGCCTTGTTTCCTTCCGAAATCCGTTCGTCTTCTCGGCATAGTTTGCCATTTTACTTTTCAAGTCCTGACTTCCATAGAGATCAACGACATACTTCAACAGAGTGTAGTGGAGATAGTCATAATGTTCGCCAATAACATCAATTATATCCTCAGCTGATTCAGCTTGTTTTATTTCGGCTTTCACTTTAGTAACAAACTTTCTATGCTCCTTTTTGAGATTAGATGGAAGACAGAGGAGGGAGTAGCGCAACTTTTTAACTGCAACACTATTGCTAAATTCTTCAGCAGCACAAACAGAGATATCGATGTATTCTTTCTGCAACTGATCAATCTTTTCTCTCGTCTCGGTGATTTCTTTATCTAGTATTATGAAAGAATTGATTCTTAGGCTAGAACGAAAAATTGTAAACCTGGCACCGGTAGGATTGGTACTTCCCTTTATCAATCTATCACTTTTGGAATGTCAAAATTATGGGGTAAACCTATACGTAGCCTTGCTGTAATATTATACACTCAACCATATTGCAAATTATACACTGGCTAATGATCACTCATTGACTGTTTTCATAAGGAGCCACAAGTCCCAATACTTTGAGCCTGGCTACAAGGGGAAAATCCCAAATTCTTGTGTGTAGATTCACCCCCACACTCTAACTATGCCACATCACTTGCGGCTCTCCCGGTTGCTCCCCAACAATACATTCCCAGTTACAATGCTGTGTGTACTATGTTGTGTTGAACCTTGGACTCCTCCACTAATAGATGAGGTTTTAGCCACACCTGCTGCCCCTTGCTCTGCAGGTAGTGCCACAACTGCATGACGAATAGATATTAATGTAAAACTCATGAATAAGTATTATCTATACACACCAATTGGTAACTTTGCTGTGAGTTTGTTGCCAACACTGGGCATATCAACAGTAGGATGATTAAGAGCATGATAGAGATCTCTCCAGGTGCATGGCTCCATCCTCTTCAACCTGGTCTTGATCATGAGGTTGAACTTGTCATCCAGACCAAACCCTGGCTCAGAATTGATGCAATCGAGATCAAAGACCCCCAGTTTGAGTCGGGTCCCAATGTTGTGCCATTTTGATCTGGCCTCCCACAGAGCCTCTTGGACTTGGGCAAAGTCATCAATACCCAACTGTGTATGCATAAATATTCTCAGCTACACACGCCATGACTATGATCAGTGATGTAGCTAGACACATATAGCCATAGCCTCGATAGCTTTTGCCTCAAAAACACTAACAATGAATAATCCGCAGCTAAACACTAACAAGCCATGATCAGGCACGATTTTGGCATGCAAGCAAGACAAGACACACAGTTATTCTAACCTGATCGGACATTTTTCGGTGGTCCCAAGCTTGTTTGCACCAGCAGATACGCACGGACGACGTCGCCCAGACGTCTTGTGTACAAGTGTGAGACGGACGGTATATACGCTTCCGGTAGCGGAAACCGCGCGCTCGTCCGCGAACGCTTAGTGATGATAAAAATTGCTAGCGGAGACGACAAATACAGCAAAAGACTGCAAAGATTTCTAACATAAGATCATGAATTCTTGCAGGAGCTGGAGATGACAGTAATAAATCTGATAGTTTTCCTGCAATTGCTGCCATTTCCCTGGATTTCACCTGTCATAGAGTGGAGGAAAAAATCATGAAGAAACTAAAATACATGTAGCAGTAAATACCTGTAAGGAAGTTGCTACTTCAGCTGGAAAACAGGGAAACTTCTCTACCCTGGCATCTGCAGCAAATCAAACTCATGATTTCTACCATACTTCTAACAGATCCCGTGTTCGTCATTTTCAACAGACAGCTTTCATCCGCTGCTATTGATCTCGAATGAAACAATTGAGCCGTCATAGCTGCATGCCTGTATTTGAAACGGTCCATTGTTGGAAGTGGAAAGAGATTGAGTGATGCTATGTGGAAGAAGCGCATCAAAAACGCCTCTGCAGCTGTGAACAGGCAAGACAGAGTCTGAGGACACCTCTGTTCTTTGATTTGGGTTTCGGAGACCATTTCAAAGGAATGGCCCTGTTGAGGAGTGGTGGGTACATTTGAAGCAAACGTGCGGTGTATGAGTTTAGGTGAACATGGTTGGATAAAGTCAAGAGCATCAAAGACAGCATAAGCCAGTGGGAACGCAACTCCGCTTGCCTCTAACAGACGGCAAGGGATTGATTTTCTGGGGTGTATAAAGACTAAGTTGGGTTAGTATCGATTGGAGGTGAGTTGGGCTATAACAAACAGCGACAGCGACAGAAAAGATAGCTGGCATTCCAGTTTCAAGATCCAACTTGACTCTGTGTTTTAGGATGTCGTTGGGTGCCATACCAGCCAATGATAGAGTAGTAAACTTGCTTTGATTACTAGAGGTACACTGGGTAGTTATCAAGAGTGCCCACCCTCTCTGTAGCCTGTCCAGGCCAGTATAGCCGAGTTTCACCTCACCACCCAGTGCTAAGTGGTGGACGCCAACCCTACCTGTGACTGGAGACACAGTGCAAGAGAAGAATTGACCATCGGAAGACTGGACTGAGTGCAGTACTGACAGAGCCCGATTTAACTCCATCAGTGCAGAGTCGACAAGTTTCAGTTGACTTTGGGCCGTGAGATTTCTTTGCCCAGCCTTATTGATGGAGTCCATGTTCTCCCTCATCTCTCTACCAATGTCTAGTCTTTTCATCACCTTCACCGTGTCTTTGCATGACTCAAGCTGAAAACTAAGCAGCTTGCCGTCAATACTGATGGCTGTAGCACTGTAAGCCTCATTGGGAGATGGCGGGGAGGCCCCTGTGATAAATGACATACATGTTGCAGAAACAGGACATGGAGAATTGAACTGTGACCTAGGGACCATAACAGAAGTAGTAGAACTGGCATCTAAATCCAATGACTTTAAAAGGCAAGAAGGCTCGAGGCAAATGCAGTATATTCCACTCGTGTTACTGTAGACAAAGCTATGCCGTTCCACAAGGAAAGAGGAGAGAATTGGTCCGGTAACACTGAACTCGGCCACCAAAGGAGCCTCTCTCCCTTTCTCTGCCTCAGTCAAAAGCACCAACTTCCCTAACCTCCCGACAACAAGCAAGGAATTGGCTGATGAGTCTTCACTTTGCTGATGTTCAGGATGCGTGGCAAACACAGGGGGTGAATGGCAACTACAGGTTGGCCCAGGTTGCACAAGGTATTATTGGATAAAGAGGCACCTGATTCACCAGAAGAAGGGGTGCAATAACCACGTGTGTCGAGAAATAAAACTGCACCACTTTGGGTCCCAACGACGGCGCCAATTGACCGAGCTAGAGACAACTCGAAACCAAAAAGCTGACGGAAGAAAACGTCCGAGGCAGACGAGGCAATACTCAATGTTGAACTGTCACTCTTCACAGAAGACTGGGAGCGGAGAAGAGATAAAAGAGGCCTGTAGGCTATAGTTGTAGATAAGAGCCCCTTAGAAGGCACACTGCAAGACCCTATCTCATGTTGAAAGAGTACGCCATTGGAAAACACTGGAAGCTTATGTTCACCAAACAGGGTAACGGAAGAAGACTGATAGACATTGAGAACAGAGCAATGCTCCTTCCTTGCAGAGACAATGAGCTTGTCAAAGCTGACAAAGGCAGAACGGATGCTCCACTGACAAACAGGGGAAAGGAACAAACTAACTGAGACATCGCGCCCATCAACAGCTTGTGCTGGAGCTGATATGTTGTCACAAGTCTCTCCAAACAGGGACGAGAGAATATCAGCACTTTGAGCCTCAGTTGGAACCCTGGAAATCGCACTGTAAAGATGAGGTATATACATACATACAGATGAAACATTCGCAAGAAATTTGCAGTAGTTGCATACGTAGCTTACAGTTTTAGGGAAAGGGCAGAAATATTCCCATTGCTGAGGCAGCAGAGTGCTAGCAGCTGCTGTGACCCTGAACAAAGTAGGGGGCTCACATGAAGCACAGCAGCAGTGTCATAAAACTTCACTGAGACCTGAGGTGCAGTTAGAGCAGGTAACAACAAAACAAATCGGCTGCATTGTAAAAAAGAGACTTTACCACTTTCTCAGATATGAGGATCCATTGGCAAGAACTGAGACTGGGCTGTCATTAGTTTCAGCTTCAAAGCAGGAGGGAATCACTTTGCACACTTCAACCTGCATCATGCATCATGATCCAACATAGCGCGCCTATAAAATAAGCGCACTTAGAACTGCCGTATATATATTATACCTCAATTGAGCGAAAGAGAAATATTGAACTAAAAACGTGTGTCGTCTGTGCTCGGGGAGCCGGGGTGTAGGACAAGTGATGGAGTCTCTCCACTCGTTTGTAAGCCAGCGACAGCAAGGTCTTCTCCCACGTAACATCTTCTCTAGAGCCGTCAGAGTATATACAATAGCTGCACAAAAACCTTCCTGCTCAGCAGTGGAGCAGTGGTGAACGTACTTTGTTCTGCAGATTCCTTGTATCTGGTGAAGAGACTGACAAATAGTAGAGTTACTGAGGACAAACGGGTGTGAGTTTAGTGCATATCTGTAGAGAATTTCCAGACAATCATACACAAGACAAACATTTCTACAAATGTTAATTGCAGTGCGGGTATGTGAGTTCGGTCGCTATATGTGGTGATCTGTAGAGAGCATTCAATAGTATTACGCACGAAATTCCTACAAAGGTGTGTTGTTATTGCAACACATTAGCCATGTGGTACGATGTATGTGAGCTCTATATGTAGCTGTTTTGTCGTGTTCCAGGTGAACTCTGTGTCCTGGAATGAGACTGGGACCAGGCTGATATCGGATCTGATGACTGCCACATCAATATCTATGACATGCCACTGGACTGGTACATACAGTCTGTCATCTTACACCCTAAAGCATGTAGGGATTGCTAGCCCTTGTCACATGAATCACCACGGGGACAGATTATCACCATTGCTTTTGTGCATGTAGTACCTCTCTAGCTCTTCATCATTTGTTTCTGCACAAAAAGTAAAGTTAATAGGATTTTTCATGTAAGGTTAACATTTTAACGTTCATCTACAGTATAGCTCCTCATAATTACTGCCGTTCCATCCCTGCTTAATGTATGTTTACCTTATCCACAAAGATGTGTATGCCAGTTCCTTTCATACTGAGGGTTTTGCAGTTCAGTGCTTTCAGTGTAGAATGACCAACCACTGACCACTTTGTGTGCCATTGGTTTTTGCTGTAGACGTGTCACTCATTTCACACAAGTCCCAGTCAACATCTTCAGTGCCAAGTTCCTCCCACAGACGGGGACTGTAAGGTCAGCAGGTTTAGTGCAGTAATGATGAGCATTGATCGCTGCTCTAAACAAAACTTTAGCTCACTTTTCGATTTTCGCTGGTTATAAGAGCTCTTGGGGACCATCAAATTTCACTTTTCAGTAGCTTGATGTATAATGTATGTACTATATAACGACAAATTTTCTTGGCTGGCAAACAAAATTCAGCAGTTTTGTGCTATTTACGTACAAAATTATAATCTGAACAGTGATCATGCATAATAATGAAAATTTGTGCATTCATATGACTTGTGGGTTGCTTCTATGCCTTTTAAGTCGTTCATGTTAGAAGAGAATGTTCTGCTACAATAAAATGTGTGTGTGTGACTCTCTTTTGAACAAAGTTCTGCTGTTTGAAACACGTCACTGGTATGACGTCTGTGCAGGCAGTGTCGTGGTGCAGGGATAGGTTCAGTGGAGGTGTCAGAGCTGAGTCCGCACGGAGACTATGTCGCATCAGTTCAAGTGTCAGTCCTCCATCACCTACAGGTGAGCCCCTGGATGGCACTAGTCTCATGTACTGGTTCATGAACGTGGGGTCAAGAGTACTCCTACTAAGTGGTGCTTGAAAAACTCTGGATAAGGTTAACTTAAAACGCTACTTCGAACATCAATCTATTCTTTACATGTAGCTCCTCTTTAGCTCTATCTTGCTGAGGTGACATATATGTTCTATGATGTTGAGTGTGAGTAGTTGGGTTTAACTGTCCGTACTGTGCAGCAATCACGCACCCACTAATAGTCCGCCATTGGTAACATCACAAACCCCCCTAATCTATGGTATAAACCTCCCATAGTCCATACATCTATGAAGCTGAGGCCCAGTCCATCCCGTACTACTTGTTACTGTGAAAACACGTATGAGAGCTGGATATAAAAAGGATTACTAACCAAACTGTTTCTCTTACAGGTGGCCCACTAGTCCAGGCTTACTCACGAGTCTTCACAAGCGAGGATTTGGAAACTGTTCACATTTACTGACCTTCTTACCTCAGCTCCTCAACTGTGATGGCAACTGCAACCGAGTAAGCTCTCTCACTTCTCTGTGTGTACATTGTGATGTGTATATATATATATATGTCAGTGGAGCGGTGGGGTCACCTTGAGACACTGTCGCTCTTCTGTGTTATGTATTCTGTTCCTTGCCTCTGCCTTGCTCTGCCTCTGCCTCTGCCTTGCAACCTCCTTTTCTCTCACTGCAAGGATTCACAAACACTGGTACTTGTATCTCTCTCACATTCTCACTCGCTCGTTTTGCTACCACCGCCATACTCTGTCAAATGTAGCTCTTTATACTCTTCTTCTCTCTGGTTTCCTCCCTGCTCTCGCTCGCCTTACTTTTCCTATACTGTTCTCTTACGTTCTCGTGCTTCTTTTTTGCCTATATTCTTTCTTTTTCTCTCCATACACTTATCTTTTCTCTCTTCTGTCTTACTTTTGTCCTTGCCCCTCTCCCGTTCCTACTCCCTGGCTCAGAGTATGCTGTGCAGGTGCCCCAGCTTGCGGTGCCGTCGTCGGGTCCATCCTCTGGAGCCTAACACTGTAGTTGGTTTTGACTGGAGATGGGACACGTTTGTCTGCTCTTCTCGACAGACGGCGCGCAGCGACACTGGCAGGACCCAGCACCCGACTCACCACTCCAGATACTTCATGCCTGTGTCTGGTGTCCAGTGAGTGCTGTAGCAGGTGGGGCGCGGGGCTAGGGTCTCGCTGCCACTCCTCCCGGCACGCCCAAGAGCTGAAGCAAATAGGCTCCCCTCTTTCTCCACCATCTCTCCGTACCCTCGCTTATCTCTGTCCCTCTGCAGTGGCTACAGTGAGCCCGTCATTCACTGTCACCATGTGAGATGGCTGCAGAGGTGAGGCCAAGAGGGGGTTGTGGGTAGTGCTGGGGTACAACGGACGCTAGGCTGACTAAGGCTAGTGTTCACAATGTCAATTGGCCCTGTCGTGCACTGTGCTGCATTGCCGTTGCTACAAGATAGATCACTCTTTCATACTTGGCGGCACAACGCAATGCATGATGGATTGTAGATACAACTGCACCCGTCGTGAGAAGTGTCACAGCAAACCTATGACAGTATACTGTATGTTTCAACTGACCACTGGCCAACATCTCTGACTGTGGAATTAACCTAAACTGATACTATGTTTTCTGGACGGGTTTTCTTCAAAAAAACAAAAGACATTATTT